CTGTTTTTAATGATCTCTAACCAGCCAGGAAGACCCAAGCTTCTGATATACATAGCTCCTTGAGGGGTCTCGGTCAACTCATGTCATTTTTGTATCTTTGGAAACATAGTCTGTGGGTACATGGAGGGGGCACAGGGGGGTGGCTCCATTTGTGAAGTGCCTGCCATGCAAACATGTGGCTTGAGTTCAGATTCCCAGAACCCAGATAAAAGGCAGCAGAGTGCTTCTGTGACCCTAGTGCTGGGTACTCGCCTAACCTTGTCATTGAGGTTCAGGTTCAGTGAGAGACCCTGCGTCAAAAACTAAGGTGGAGAGTGATCAACGAAGACGCCCACCATCAACCTCTGGCTTCCATATGCATGCATGCACATGTGCACACACACACACACACACACACACACACACACACACACACCCTTTAGGATTCAGTATAGGAAAGTGCCAGTTTTCTACTTAGCATGATGTTAGCTTGTTTTCCTAATAACTATTAACTTGCTTAGCTATACAAGGATTTTAAAAAAAAAGAACTAATTCAGGCTTAACGAGGCCCCCATCAGAACAAAGACATGTCCATAGTCAGAAGAGGTTGAAGGTGATCATTGAGTCAAAAGATCATATAAATGAAGTCACTCACTAGCTAAAAATATTTCTTCAAGCACAGGCTTTCTTCCCTCTGCTCCGAGGGCAGAGAGCAGGCCCTCCAGCAGCATAAGCATTCCTTCATCTGCAGACACAGATTCATGCCGGGAAGAAAGTGGTACTGACCGAGGCTGGGATCAGCACTTTCCTTGAATTTTTTATTCATGTTAAATTTGGGCCTCAAAAAGATTTGTTCAGTCAAACTGGTTGATGGCACTACATGACTAGTTAACCGTACTTACTAATCACTTAAATATGATTTATGGAATGGTATAAAATGGTTTATGAAATCAGTTTTGAACTGTCTTTTTCATAGTAATTATACCAGTTCATAATAACTTAAACCAAGTGAAATTGGCAAGAATTAGTCTAAGCATCTTTAACACTCTGATGGTTATCACGCAGAGTTGCCACTGCTGTCAAATGACAGGGTTGTATTTAATTTCTCTTTCCTACTGCATTTCTTTTATTTTTCTCCTTTTCACATTAAACATACTTCATAACATTTCACCATGGGAGAAGGCTGCATAAGTTTCCAGTTGCTGTAATTTAGTTAAACCATAAAATTGTTTCCAGATTACCAACCATGAAATGGAAAGACAATCTTATTTATGAATTTATAAATCAGATAATCTCCCTCAAATGAATCCTGAAACCAGAAACACTTTGATGATTAAATAGGAGGAAAAAGTTTTCTCATTACCATGTGTCAAAAGAATTGTATTTTCATGAGGGGGTTTTGGCTGAGACAGTGGCGCATGCATGTGTGATCAGCATGCCGTCCAGCACTGTGGTGCCTATCGCTGCCTCCTCTGCACTGGCCCCACCCAGAAATGGGGAGAATCACAGCACTTCTGTCAGGGACAAGAGTCTGGCTGCTAGGGGAGATGTCAAGGAGCAGCCAGCAGCATCTGACTGGCCACCTTCCTGGTGGTCCTGCTGGTGCCGTAGCCTGAAAGATGCCACCCAGGTAGTATTCATGCCCTAACTCACAGCAACTAAGTGAAGAACTAAGCACCTGGATGCCTGAATCAGATATACATCTTTTGCTCCAAGTACCTTGTGCTGGATAGCTTTGGTTGTCAACTTGACACACCTAGGTAGCGGGAGCCTCAACTGGGGAATTGCCTCCATTGGACTGACCTTTGGCCATGTCTGTGGGGTATTTTCTTGAGTGATGTGGGAGCACTGTGGTCAGTTCCACCCCTGGGCACGTGGTCCTGTGTTGTGTAAGAAAGCAGGCTGAGCAGGGGTCAGGGGAGCAAGCCAGTAAGCAGCATTCCTCCATGGCCTGTGCTCTAGTTCCTGCCTCCAGGGTCCTGCCCTGAGTTCCTACCTTGGGCTCCCTCAGTGATGAACTGTGACCCGGGAGATGTAAAGCAAATAAACCCTTTCCTCCCAAAGTTGGTATTGATCAGAGTGTTTTGTCTCAGCAATTGAAGGCAGACTAGAACACACCTAAGCTCTCACCCTAGGCAAGACTACATTGTATCCCTGTCAACCCTGAAGAATCAGGTAGCGGGGTGCAGTTTAGAAATATCTTTCTCTATGTGCATCCTAAAGCTGTTACTGAAGGGGGAAGCCCAGTGGAGAAGCCCAGTCCCCACTGAGCCAAAGAAAAGTGCTAGGAAGCCTTGTGAGTCCCAGCGGTCTAATCCAGCCTGTGCTGTGACATTCTCCAATTCTGTCCATAGTGATGAGCCAGTTAAAGATAAGGTCCTGCCGGGTGTGGTGGCACACGCCTTTAATCCCAGCACTTGGGAGGCAGAGGCAGGCAGATCTCTGTGAGTTCAAGGCCAGCCTAGTCTACATAGTGAGTTCCAGGACAGCTGGGGCTACAGGGAGACCCTGTCTCAAAAAAAAAAAAATTAATTAATTAAAAAAAATAAATAAGGTCCTGTATCCAGGATAATTAAGGTGCTTTGTTTTAGTTTTTAAAATTGCTCTCCCCTCTTGTTGGACAAGGTAACGAAAGCTGTTGGCCTATAATGGATCTGAAAGACTGCTGATTTAGCCCTGATCCTGACTGTGTCCCTCGCCAGTGTTGCAATGCCAAGACTTCTTCCCGCCTTTTATCAGCAGGTTCTTGGTTACTGGTTATTGTCTGTAGTTATGCACCTGCTGGTTTCTTACTTTTCTTTCCTCCTCCTCCTCTTCCTCCTCCTTCTTCTTTTTGAGACAGGGTCTTCCATAGCCCCAGTGGCTTAGAACTCTATATAGACCAGGCTCAGTCTTAAAGGGCTCTGACTGCCTTTGCCTCCTGAGTGCTGGGATTAAAGATGTGTGGCGCTATGCCTGGCAAACTCATTTATATTTATTTTATGCATATGAGTGTTTTGCCTGCGTATATATAAGTGCACCACATGTGTGCAGTGCCCTCAGAAGCCGAAGAAGGCCTCAGATCCCCTGGAACTGGAATTGCAGATGGTTCTTAGCCAACATGTGGGCGCTAGGAACAGAACTCAGGTCCTCTGCAAGAGCTGCCAGTGCTCTTAGCCAGTGAGCAGTCTCTCAACCCTCCCCCCCACGTTTCTTAAAATCACTGCTGTCTTTGTGACTTAGGTCATCTTCATGTCTGTCCGTCTCCTGCTCCAATGGGACCAGCCCTTAAAACGCATCTTAACTCAAGATGTCTAGACTCTAAAAATGCATCCCACTTAAAAACATTCGCCTGTGACTAAGAGTAGAAAATCTGTAGCCTTGAATCAACCTCTTATCTTCAGGTGATGGGTTTTACTCCAAGCCCTGTTGCTGACAGTATGAACCCCTGTGGAAGGAGCAATAGAGCTAGACCTTTTCTCAGAATTGGCAATTCCCAAAAGCATTGGTGTTTTCATGTCTCCTGTTCTGCAGATACCATGGTCCACCCATAACCCTGTTGTTTCTGAGGTACATCTGTAGTTTGATCAGTAAATGTGGGGTTTCTAACAAATTTTTACTAGTCTGTTTTCCTTATTTGAAATTTTTACCAATTTTTCTCCTTGACACATTGACCATTTTATAGGAAATAGGAGGCCAGAAACACAGGCATGATTGCAAATACTTCAACTGAGATTTGCATCCGCTGTTGTGCATAGACATTTGTAGTGTCAGTTGGTGGAGATGTATTTCCACAGTTGGCATTTGAGATTTCTTCCTCTCCCCCAGTAGAATGGATCTCATACTGTTCATACTTACTTTACTTGGTGGGGTTGTTTGCTCCTTTGCAACCATTGACTACCCACACTACGTGACATGCGTACAAGGAACTCGGCGTCATAACAGCATTCAGTTTTAAACTGAAGAAAGCACATGGAATTGTCACCTCAGGAACCTATAATTACAGAGTTAAGCTCGGTAGTTCGTGTGGCTTTAAAGGTTTTACTCCAAAGGCAAACCCCAAGGCCTCAAAGTTTGAGAATGTTCTTGATTGCCACGACATTCCGGGTACAGATGGTCAGTCAGTTTTTTTGTAGTGAAAGTATAGACTGCTATTATTTTGCACAGAGTACAACATAAAGCAGTTGTGTTGCATTTAAGAGCCACATTGTTGTGGATATGCTGTTTGTAGTGTGGGGATCACCATCACATGCTTCTGTGAGACATCTGTTGTCTGAGATCCAGACGTATGAGCCCGTTTCACACACTCCCCTGTTGCCTCAGAGAACCCTGAAGAGAAAGGTGCAGTGATGTCCACAGGCAGTAACCAGGGGATTCTTATTAATATCCTCATGATCAAGTTGTTGGGTATTTCGTTTCCTCTTTGATCCTGTAAAATCCTCAGGCTAAGACTTTTCCACTATTAAAGCGAGCATCATCTGCTCCCAAACACGTTGATTTCAATCGGGTTCTCCATGGTGTTGACAAGAGGCACTTGTTTGGGCTGCCTGTGGGCGATGAAACAAATGTAATCCCACGCACAACAAACATTTCCATCATTCACACCAGAACCAGCCCACGTCCTCGTAGCTGTGAAGATCCACCTAGAAGAGTGTGTGGCCATGCAGGGCCTGGCCTAGGGCATCGCTGATCCCACAGTGGTCCTGGTTTGTGCGAGGTAAATAACAAAAACAGGGTAGCAAGTTTCTAAAGTGGATGGTGAGTGAGCACAGGTGTTTCTGAGGGAGTTGTTTTCCAGGAGGCCTCTGCTGACCTGTGCAGTTGTCTTCCTTGTGAGGTCACAGGTTCAGTTCTCAACTCTGAACAAAGAATCTTGCTCTCCCCCAAGGATTGGCAGCTTCTTCTGGTTTCCAAGCCAGGTTGGGTTGAACTGTAGCGGCCTGGTAGGTGGTGCCTTTTATAACCATCAGGTGGCTCACTCACCTAGAAGAACTAGTCTGAAAGTCAACAGACCTTTAACAAACCATTCTCTTGTTTTGCAGAGAGAGGATGCAAGCCATGGAACAGCAGATTGCCAGTTTAACTGGCCTTGTTCAGTCTGCGCTTTTTAAAGGGCCCATTACAAGTAGTAGCAAAGAAACCTCTAGGTAAAAAGAAGCAAGCCATCCAGTTAAAAACTAATTCAACCTGTTTCTCTTTAATCATTATGATCATTCATTTGTTTAAATTCATTTCTTCGTGATCATTTTAGGGTTGAAATGTTCACATCTCTATGAATCATGGTGTGGGGTCTATTTTATGTTTTTGGTTTTGTTTTTTGTTTTTTCCCTTCTGGTAATTCTTGGACAAAGATAACACTTTGGCCCAAGAAGGGCCGAAGGGCTTCCCAGTGCATGTGGCTTTATGGACCACTCGCCACCAGTCAGTGCCTGCTACCGCTGCACTCGCGCGTCCACATCCGCCACCATCTGAAAGTCACCGTGTGCCTGGCTGCACCCACTCGTGCCTTACACACCGGGGAAGCCTTCTCCATCCGGGCCAGTCATGGTGCTGATGCCCAAACACCCTCATTGCTTTATCCATCGGTGCTGATTCCTAAAAATAGTGAATGGATGGGGCAAGGAAAAACACTTTGGAAGTGGGAGTTGACTCTCTTTTTCTTTTATTCAGTGAGAAAATGACGAAAACCACAGCCAACAAGAGCCACACAGACAGTGCAGGTGAGTGTCCTGGGGGCTCTGGAAGCCTGTGAGTCTCCTTCGGCCCTGACTGGTTTCAGACATAGTGTTTCCCCAAGTCACTTGGTATGCCCTCACAGGCATCCAGAAAAATTCCCGGTGCTACCATGGTTTCTTGCCATGCTGACATAGTCATTGTTCCCTCATTCCCTCATTTATATGACCTAATTTCTGAGGTGCATTTCTGCTCCAGGTACTGGGGATGTAAAATGGATTCAGTGGGTGTAGACATAGTGCTGACTGTCTAGAACTTAGAGTTCTCAGAAAAGTTGGTAATATATGTGCAACAAATGTCAAGAAGTATAGAATAAAAGTTCAGCCTACAGGGCTAGCCTACATTGGGAGCGTCCCACTGCAGAGGATGCAGAGGATTGCAGAAGAGAAGGCGGAGAGGAGCTGTCCAGGTGGAGGCAATTCACTTACTCTAAGTGCAAAGTGAAGCCATTGGGAGGCTCTATTGTGGGGAAGGACATTACCCAAGTGTATCATGGGAATGGAAAGAAGGGGTGAAAGACGCTGGGAGTTAGTGCCCAGCAGTCCAGGTGAGAGGAGAGAGTGTGGGTGGGCTAGGGCGTGCTTCTTAAATGCTAGCATTCCCCTGGAGGACGACCAGTACCATCAGCAGCAGAACTTGTTAGTGCCCATGTATGTGTGGTGACGGGCTGATCCTTGCCTCTCCAGGCAGGCCTCTCTAGAAGATGACATCTTTGTACCCATTGGGTTAGAAACAAATCATAGCAGGAACATGCTAAAAATCATATCGGAAGTTGGTTGGAATCCCTAATTTGGGAAAGCCACATCTGGTTGGTGCAACATAGCAGCACAGACAGGATTGGGGCTTACTCCTGCTGGCCCTGGCTTCACTTGGGCTGAGTACAGTCCAGGATTCAGCTTAGAAATCGATCCGTGGCCTGGGCTGAACCCGCATAGTTATTTCATGGAAATCACTAAACTTGTCCTCAGAACAGTTGCCATTTTGCTTTGGAGATATTTATTCATTCTTTCTTATTTATTATGAACTTAAAGGGATAAAAGGAAAGTAATAAACAGTAAAGCCTTCCATCCCTCCAGAATCCATCCTGGAAATGATTAGTGCCCTATACTACCTTGCTGATCAGTACACGCATGCTATTTGGAATCTTCATTCCTCACTTTTCATAGCAGTGATAGGAGACGTTGAAGGAGCACGTCCTGTCTGCCTGGCACTGTTCCAAGATTCCAAGCATTAGGCCATCGGTACCTATGTGTAGGTTTCAGTTTTATTCCTGTGATCCAGATAAGGAAACCAGACACACAGCCACAAACGTGTGAGACATGGCAACAGATCTACATACCTGTTATTTCTTCCGTTCATGTTAAGTTGCACCAGTCCCCTAAAACTTGTAGAAGTCATTTCATTTCTTCATTTTGACGTTTTTTGTAAATGTCTTCTTTGAGCAAGGCAGGAAAAAGTATAATTTCTTTGGATACATTTCCCAGCGTGCAGTCAATAAGTCTGGGGACAGGTAATGCTAGTCCTCACATGCTGTAAGCTTTGTTTGGGGGAAGGCTCGGGAGTTCTGCGATGCTATGGGCAATGTGAATGGTTTGGGTTCCTGTGTCTATGCCTAGCTTGGTCTTTCTTCTTCTAATATATATTGAGGCTAGATATTGCCCCTGGGGTTTGGTTTCCATAGCAGCAGTACAGTGCACAAAATATATTAATTCCTCCACAGCCCTAGGAAGTAAACTAGAAGACAAGCTGCGTTATCCTGTTCTGTAGACCAATAACAGGCTTACAGAGAAGTCAGGGAACTCATTAGCCAAAGGTCAACACAAATGCAATCCAGACCTCTTGGTTACATTAGAAGTATGTAATTTACTGTAGATAGAAGAGAGCAGAGGTCTCCTACTTCCGAGGCATGCCTTGCGTGTTACACTGTGTGCTGTCTCAGTTAACACACCTAATACCATAAGGAAGTTGTTGCCATCCACATTTTATATAGAGCCAAAAAGATTCACAGAGGTTAAGATGCTGAAAAACATCCTGCTAGTGTGAGAGTCAGCCTTGCTAAACCTCAAAACAGTCTTCTTTCAGTTACAACAAGCTACCTTAAGCTCACATCAGTTGTAGACTTGGAGCCTGGCGTAGTGGCGCACACCTTTGATCCCAGCACTCAAGAGGCAGAGGCAGGTGGATCTCTAAGATCAAGGCCATCCTGATCTACATAGTGAGTTCCAGGCCAGCTAAGGCTACAGGAGACCCTGTCTCAAAAAGACATATTAAGATCAAACTAACCAAGGGCCAACAAGATGGGTGAAGGCTCTTGCTATGAAAGCCTGATGACCTGAGTTCAGTCCCCTAGACCCACATAAAGGTGGAAGAGAAGAACTGACTCCACCAAGTGTTCTGTGACCTCCAACCACTGGCTGTAGCATGCATATCCACACACACACATCATTCGATTCATGTATACATACATGATAATAATAATAACAAATTTAAGCTGTAAGTAACCAAGATAAATTACCTTGAATAGGTTCTGTCTACAGAAAGGAGTAAGTTTCCTAAGGACAGACTATACATTGACCACTCTGTACTTGACCTGTTAGGAGAACAAGCAAATGTGACCACCCATCTGTGTGCATGGCAGACTGATCCCAGGTCTTGTGACTCTGTTGTGAATGGGGACATACTTGGAGTCCCAGCAACTAGATTCATTGACAGCTGTTGGGTCATCCCCAGTGCCCTATAGACTCTAGATGGGCATAAGGAAGATGGCTTTTTCCACTGCTCTGTTCAGAGAAGCAGTGCAACTAAGAGCAGTGAGGCTCTTCGGCAGACACTGGGCCAAGCAGTTCCTCATGTTTAGGTCCTTAGCCCATAGGGTAAGGGCAACACCCATTTACACATAGGGAAGTGCAGAGAGAGCAGGATTAAGTTACTTGTTCAAGGTCAGACATGAGGAAATGGGTTCTGAGAGTGGTGTTCGGGCTCTAGCTTAAATAAGGAAATAAATGACAGTGTCCCTGACTAAAATTAAGTCCAGAGAGGGAGAAAGAGATTTGGCAAAGATGAGAGGAGGTAATGAATTTGATCTGTTGTGGGAAAAGTTGGTAGTCATCTGAAAATGATTGTAGGCCGGGAGACCAGGGCACGTAGTAGAGGACAGGGTGCTCCAGAAAGCAGGTCGGCAAGAAGAAATGCAGACCTAGGACAGAACACAGCAGGGCCTCCAAGGGAGGGCAGGACTAGAGATGGAGCATCAGAAAGGGAAGAAAACAACACAGAGAGAAGTTTTAATGAGACTGGGAAGGAAAAAGTGACTGGCCACAAAGATCATGCTGTGCTGAGTGAAGTCAGGTCTCCCCTGGAGAGTGTCCATTGATAACTCCATCACATCACTGGCCACTTATGAAGAACTGACTCCAGTGAATGATGGAAAGAGAAAACCAGACATGGCAATTTCAGAGGTTATTGATAAAGACGTATTTTAAATAAATACAGATCCCATAAAGAAACTGAGTTTTGAAAATAGTTTTGAAAACTGTTATCACCATTCAGCTGTAACCGATAACATACAGACTGGAGCCTGTTTTCTGTAACATCCCTCAGAGGGAAAAGGCATTTTGTACATAAGTCTGGCAGCCTAAATTCAATCCCCAGACCCCACGGGAAGTTGGAAGGAGAGAACCAACTCCACAAAGTTGACTTTTGACCTCTACATGCAAACTGTGACACATGGGCCTACATACACATAAAATAGGAGATCAATAAATGAGGCTGGTGAGGGCTAGTGCCCTTAGAATGTACGAGAATTGCAGGGTATGCAAAAAGAATGTGCCTTCGTTTGGCTAAGGAATTAGCACAAGAGTCATTACCAAGTACGAGATGACTAACCAGTGCAGTACAAAAGGACTAACCAGTCCTTTTACTGATGGCACCACATACGATAACAGATGATGTCTAAGGTGTGAGGTGGAGAGCATTTGCCCCTGTATCTCTAGATAGGGAATGAGAGGCTGGTTGATTCTAAAAGGAAAACTTGCAATTGATTGTGATTCCCCGTCAGGATGCCTGACCTTGGAAGACACTAGGTTAATTATAACATGCTTGTTACTGGAAATGTCACTGGATGCTCTTTTCCTTTGTACCTTCACAGCGGAGAATATTCTTTTGAGCAACTGCAAAGATAGCAAATAATTGCCTTTCTGAGGGTGGCTTTGATTTGGTAGTGAAAGAAAAGAACAAGTAAATGTTGCTCAGAGCTCTGACTGGTGATGATGTGAATGACCATTTAGGTTCATAAAAGTAGCCAAAAACGCTGATGTTCTGGGATTCCTTTGTAATCCTATAAGTGCCTTTGGCCCTTGGAGGACAAGAACAGCTGTGCCTGGACAGTCATCCTAATGTGAAGAACTCGGTGTGTCACCAGCGCTGCACCTTGGTTGCTGAGTCACAGTGGAAAGGCAGGTCACCACCACTAACCACTCCAGGGTGTACAAGTCAAGGACAGGGTTCTCTCCTACAAGGCCAGAATGACCTGTCACAAAGCTTCCAGGAAGGCAAACTGAACAGAAGTGTGTCTTTATATATATGTATGTCTGTGTGTGTCTATGCCTTATATGTATACACACATATATATACATACATACATACACACACACACATATATATATATATATATACTTCCACCGTGTGTGTGTGTGCACATGCATGTGTGTGCCTGTGTGTGTCAGAGACAACATCTAGTCTGGGAACATGTTTCATACCTTTATAGTCTCTTTAAAAGGCAACACAATCTGTTGGAGATTCTTTTAAATCTTGCTGATCCTATAATACCAACTTGAGATTCTTTTTGAGTCATATTAAAGGTAAACATGGTTAGAGAGTTACTTTAAAAACAAACTTGATCAAATCAGATCCTTCCCTGATAGATTTGTGAAATGCATGACGCTTTTTAAGTTGAACCAAGAGAAAAAGCTTATGGCAGCTAGCAGACAACTTAAGAGCTTTTTCTTTTCTGCTCTACTCTTTACTTTTCTATCCACCACAGCCCCTTCAAGTCCTAGGGCTGGAGCTCAGGGCCTCACGTGAATGAGGCAAGTGCTGTACCGGTCTGGAAGTTTCTTCCACTACATTTTCAGTTTTTAATTTTCTTTCCTGAGAAATTTTGGAGTACAGCTATATTTCTTTTACTAAAAGTGACAAAGTCCAGAAGTCCTACTTCTTTCCATTTTGGAAACCTATGGGGATTTATAACGAAGTACCTACTCTTGGGCCCCAAATCTGTGTCCTAAAGATGCATGCCAGCAGGTGATGGTGACGTAGAATGTTCTATGAGGTTCCAGAAATTTACTTTTTCCCTACTCAAAATTAAAGCTAGGTACTATATAGATTTTTAAATCCAAAAGTTAGCAATAAGAATGTAAAATTGTGGGGCTGGAGAGATGGCTCAGCAGTTAAGAGCACTATCTGCTCTTACAGAGGACCCAGGTTCAATTCCTGGCACCCACACAGCGGCTAACAACCATCCACAACTCCAACCTAATGCTCTCTTCTGACCTCTGCAGGCATTGCACAGCAAGAGTGCATTTACACACATGCAGGCACATAAAATAAATAAATAGATAAAATATTAAATATACACATACATATATATAATTGTGCCAACAGCCGGCGATGCTGTTAACACATTGTTCAGTATACTTTTAAACTTTTGTCTATGTGAACCTGTGTGTTTAAAGAAGAAAAAGAGGAGGAAGGGAAAGAAGGAAGAAAAATCCCAGCACTGGGGGAGGCATGGTTGATGGAGGGATGCAGGTGGCAGCATAGACACTTAGCTTACATGATGTGGCGTCACGATGTAAATACTGCTTTACCATCCAAGCTTCTAGAACGTGGTTGTTACAGACTGCATCCCTTCTCAGGATTGTGCGATGTACTGTTTCCATGTTTTTTTTTTCATAATGCATTTTCAGTCTATATGGAGATTGAGCACAGTTCAGGTATACTGTGACATTCAAAAGTCTCTGCTGTTCTTTTAGGAATTTCCCATGTGCCTGGTGGGAAGAGTCTGGAGTCCACAGTGCCTCCTGGCCAGCCCCTGCCTGCCGGCACCTCATCCATCCATATGAGCCTGCTTGACATGAGGCGGAATGTAGCCGAACTCAGGCTCCAGCTCCAGCAGATGCGGCAGCTCCAGGTACTCAGTGCAGATGTGTCCTCTGTCTTAGTGGCTCTAGATCAGCTTTCTTTGTTCTCTGTAACCCCAACCCTGCTGCAACTTCCCTGGCCTTTACTGTGCTCTTCTCTGAGGCTAATTGAAGACCCCAATGCATAGGGCTATAATGGCAGGACTTCCTGGTCTACCTGTAATCCTGGTCTGGGGCCGTCCACTGTAACTGTAGTCAGTCTAGGACCTGTATGCTTTGCGTGAGAAAAAGACTCATTCAACACCTGTTTTGGATGTGAGCTATAAAGGGGGCCAGTGGAGCATCCTGACAGCCAAGGCTGCCAGCTCTCAGGCCTCTTCCTTCTCCCCAGGGAGGGGCCAAGCTTCCTGCCACTCCCCTCCCAGCAAGGAACTGTGATGTCTTTACACTTTGAGTTTGGAATAGAAGACAAATTCATAAGAGTGGGGGAAAAAAGGGCTCTATGGATGATTCGTTGAGAAAAGCATCTGTATTTTATTTGGATGGTGTGTTTCAAGTTTACCCATTTCCATCATAGAGGAATAGATGAACTGATAGGGAAGGTAATACTAACCCTCATGTCATGAATCTTGGTCGACAAACACCATCAGTCTGACAAAGTGGGATATTCTATCTCCTGGATTAAATCCCAAGGAGCTGGGAGGTGCGGGGCTTCATGAGGTCCTGTGTTTACATCCAATGCCAGCCTTACCCTCCCTGCCCTTGGCAGTGGCTAGGGCATTGGGCACAATCCTGGCTTCAACTTTATGCAGACATCTCCCTGACCTCCTTCAAGAATCTCATAATCCAAATATTGTTAAAAGTCGGACACACCCAGGAGCCTGGGGCTGCAGCAAGGGTGGGGATCCTCTGTGGTCGGTGGGTGGGAGCAGCGACCGAGCACTGGGGTTCAGGAGGGAAGGACTTTGAATCATGCTCTTCTGCGCCTTCTGCATCCCAGTGGCCAATCTGCTTTTATCACCTAATTAGAGCTAAGAATATGATTTCCCACTGCCCAGAGTCTACCAGAGGATGAAAGGGGAAGGGTAGAAAGCCAGGCATGATGTCGCAAGATGGCTCAGCAGGTACAGTGCTGGCCGTGCAAGCCTGAAGACCTGGGTTCAGTCCTTGGAACCCCACATAAAGATAGGAGGAGAGAGCTGACTCCATAAAGTTATCGTGCATGCTGTGGTGCGGGTGTGTGCGCACACACATACACACACACACAAATAATAATAATAATAGGTTTAAAGAGCCACCTCTTCTTTCGGGGGGGGGAATCAATTTAATTTAAAAAGTAAAAGAAGGGTAGCTGGTTTGGAAGACCTCGTCTGAAGCCCCAGTGTGCATCAAATGAGGGTTGACAAAACAACTCACACTGCTCACACTGTTCACTACTCAGATGTCTCTCTCTCTCTCTCATTCTAGACACCTAGGACATCCAGTGCAGATTTACTTAAATCACCTCTGAATCACATCATCTGTGAAATCTGCCTTACATGACCTCTCCTTGCTCTGCAACATTTTTATTTCATTTTGTGTGTGGTGCATGCACATGACCATGGTGGTGCATGCTCAAGGCCCCGTGATGCAGATGCCAGAGAGAACATTGGGTGTCTTCCTCTACTACTCTCCACCTTATTGTCTCGCAACGGGGTCTCTCTGTAAACCAGAAGCTGGCTGTTTCAGCTAGGCTGGCTGGCCAGCAAGCTCCCAGAATCCATGTGTCTCTCCTCCCGTCCTGGAGGCATGCGCAGCCATACCCAGTTTTGTTACGTAGGTGCTAGAGATCCGAACTCAGGTCTTCGTGCTTGCACAGCAAGTGCTCTCGTCACTGAGCTGTTGTCCCAGCCCTGCATTTTAAATCGAACAAAACTACCACCACAGAAACACTTTGCAATGAAATGAAGTGTCCAGGTTGGCTGGGCTAGGGTGTTAGAGTGACAGCAAATGTCTTCAATGTCCTGTCAATATAGTGACAAATGAAGTACAGAGGGGCAAAGGCAATGGCTGTTTGAAAAGTTGTCACAGAGCTGGAGAGATGGCTCAGCAGTCAAGAACACTGGCTGTTCTTGCAGAAGACAAGGTTCATATCCCAACACCTACATGGTGGCTAACAATCATCTGTAGCTCCAGTTCCAGGGGATTCGACACTCTCTTATGACCTCTGAGGGCACTGCACAACATGGGTACACTTATACACATGCAGGCATAACACTCATACACATAAAATAAAAATAAATTTTAAAATGTATAAAAATAATGAGATTCCATATTTCCCGAGTTTTCAGTATTCCAAGAGAATCTAGAAATACAGGTTTTCTGTGAAACATCTCTTTTTTTTTTAAGTGTTGGGAAGTAGTTAAAACCTAATTACTTAGTGCTCTGAAGGCCAAAGGACAAATCTGTAGGGCCAACACCTCCTGTCAGCTCCCAGGTTCTGGAATTGCCCCTCCCTGTACTACACCTAGTTTTTTGTGCCCCTTGCTAGCTATTTGGAAATTGTGTTCCTCACTGAAGCTCCCCTCTCCCCAAAAATGAATCTGTTGTTTATACAGTAGACCCTAACTGCTCTCAGAAGGGAGCAGCTGCTGGTCTGGGGACGCGGTATAGCATGAGTCTCACACCTGCCTTCGACAATCTTAAGTGTTTGAAGTACATTTGATACTGTGACTATAAGGTTGATGGTTTAGTACTACCTTGGCTCTCCAGCCAAGGCGTTCTTTGGTATCAGGCTGACTGGGAGAGATATCCCACCACCTCCCACCCCTTGCGACCCTTGAACCTATGTCAGCACAATGCAGAACAGCTGCTTTCTTAACAAAGAAGTTCTCTGGCCACCGTGTAGCAATACTATGCTAGCCACCCGGGTTTTTTAATTGCCTCAGAATTGCTCGACTTCTTTGGATTTCTGGGAGTAAATAGCAGTGAACAAATATGCTGTTGAGCTTGGAAATGTGTATAGCTCTCCAGAGCAGACAGGCAAGGGAGGATAAGTACTTTGTTTCTTAACCTGGCTGCTATTGTCTCTCCCCCAGCTTTGTGTTCTCTGTGTGCTGGGCTTCCCTCCTCCACAAACTTCCATCTTTGCAGCCAGGAGAGTCTATTTAAGACAAAAACAATTGAGAATAATTAAGCTGTGGCAGCCCCAATTCTCCTTCTGCACATGTATTATCATACACCAAAAATGAAATGCAACCCCAGAGTGATTGTGAGTCCAGAAATGGTGTTATCATCAGAGATGTGCAGAACTCTCTAGAAGAGTCTCAGAAGAACAAAAATCAAATTAGAAATTCAAATGTTCTTTGAACTGTGTTATAAAATACTGAAAGTGAATGAAATCCTTTGTGCTTGGCAGCCTGCTGCAGTAATTAGATAATTAAATCATTGGAAAGCCCTAGACTGTAACGCTGTATTTGAGAATTTCATTTCCAGAAGTGACGGATTCTTCACAGGAATAGAAATGTGATGCAGCACAAGGGGATCTAGTTGAGGGGAGAGAAGGTCAGGGAGGTGAGCAAGAAAATCGCCAAGTCCCTGTCCATGTGACTCTGTCCTTGAGAGACACTGCTGTTCACAGGAACCACCTTGGGTCCTTCACAAAAGCACAAGTACTGGGGCACCCTGCCAGAGCCGGGCTTTGTTGGTGTGAACTAGAGGCTAGGCTGGTGATTCTAGAATTTCTCAGTCAGAATTACTGCTCTTGAGTTGTTAGGACTCCAGTGAGATGCCTCATGGATGTGCTGAGATCTGTCAGTTCTCACAAATGGTGAAGTGGTAACTACCAGACTACTGAGGTGCCCCACCAGACTACTGAGGTGCCCCACCAGACTACTGAGGTACCCCACCAGTCTACTAAGGTGCCCCACCAGACTACTGAGGTGCCCCACCAGTCTACTGAGGTGCCCCACCAGTCTACTGAGGTGCCCCACAAGACTACTGAGGTACCTGCCACTCTCAGTCTGAAAGACACAGTAACTTACAGCACTGCCAAGTGCGCACCTTCCCACAGCTAATCAGATGTGTCTTCCCTCAGTTCATTTGCTACAAGTGCTGACAGAAAGTTTATTCTGCTGTGTTCCGCTCCCAAGTAACATCTGGGTCTACAACACTGGCAACAATTGAAGAGTTTCCCACTTAACAAATGTTCGTTTCAAAGGACAACTGTCCTTATCCATTACCCTTCCTGGTAAGATTTAGGGGGGAAAAAATCTACTTTTTCTGAACGATGAATAATACTTTTTTCCCAAAATGTCACAGTACACAGATTTTTTTCCCTAAGGTAATTCCAGATCCCCAGAGGTAATCGCCCTTCTGTCCCTCTCTGGGCTGAGGAAAAAAAAAACATGTTTCTGAAGGACAAAAAATTCTGCAGAGACCACAGGCTGGTTGAGACTTGACCCAAATAGACAGAAGATAAATTTTGTATTTCCAATTTACACATTTTTTTCTCTTTTTCTGTTTTCATGATAAGTTAAAAAAAAATTTAGGTTATTCTGAACTTAGTGTTACATTTTTAAGAATCCTGAGAATTCTTAAAAATCTTAAAATTCTTAATCCTGGTGAGGGAGGATTAGCATTAAAAAAAAAGAAACAGCAGTACACAGAACCCTTGTATCTGAAGTGATATAATTCAGCAATCTTCATGTCTTCTGTTCTAGAGTCTTATTTTCTGATGTCTGAATTATGATCAGGGCAGTGTGTAGCCCAGAGAGACAGAGCAGGTGTGCGTTAGCCCCTGTGGAACAGACCTTCTTTCTCCAACAAGGCACAAATGATCAATGAAACTGATACAGAGGTTGACAGTTAAGTTGGTGAACAATTTACTGAGCTCCAGTTGGATCTGCATAGGAAGCTAAGATAGGGCAGCAGCACCCAAATGACATGGTCTGTGGTCCGGCATCCTTTGTTTGATTCCCTGAATCCTGGGGGAGCTTACCCAGGTGTCAGGAGTCACTCAAGGGTCTGGCTTTCTTTCTGCCCTGGTTTGTGGTATAACCACTGCTCGGTG